TATATATATATATCTGTTGGAGAATCTCTGTGAGAAATTTTTATTCTAAAAATTAGAAATTTTAGTATCGGTTTTTTAGTTTTTTGATCACTTAAAATTTCGAGCAATGCTGGCAATCACAGCAAGAACTAACGTGTAGTCGCGAGTCTGTGAGTTCGACCATAGCCATCTAGAAAGGAGGAAAGGACCTCTCTTCTAGATGGTTATGGTTCGACCAGGTGAACGCCAATGTGAAACCGCAAAGTGGTGAATTCATGAAGACTGACTAGCTAGTCACAGCAGGCATCTAGCATGTATCTCAATACATAATGCTGTTCTTTAAAAATTGGTTACGGGTCTAAAAAATAGATATATTTCTTTTACACTTTTCTATTTGTTTCAACTACGTTTAAAGAAGTTTATAAAAGAAATTGTAGGAAATAGCGGACTTGATCATTTCTTTTTTTCTTCTTTTGCTTTCATATGATTTCATATGATTAATGGGATTTATCATTAATAAAATTCACCTTAAACATAGGGTAGCTCTTAAATATTTTTAATAAAACGACTGTATTGAAAAGTCATTTAATAGTCTGATTTTATTAATTATCGGTAGGTCGGAGAAAAGTTCCATAAAACTGTGCAGCCTCTTAATTTTATCCCATCCAGAAGATAAAAAAAAAAAAAAAAAAAAAAACTTGGGTCAAACTTTTCAATCATGGAATCGGTACTTTTATGTCTCTAAATTTTCTTATACAGTCGAACTCGTTTATAACGAGCACAAAGGGTCTAATCGAGTTCGACTGTATTATGTTTTCAAATAATTACTGTCAAAAATTTTACTGAAATAGCTGTTTCGTCGTAATTTAATAATTTGGTTTTCAACTTGATGAATTCGGTAAGAAATCATTAAATAAGATAAAACAATTATTCTTCCATCCGTTTTAACGCAAATTTCGACAATTGTCATTAGAAAAAATGGAATTAAATAAAAGTACCGGTTCAAATTCTAACAAAAAATCAATTCATAATGAAGACTCACCCCTTGCTCTATACAATGGCATTTTTGGTTATGTGTTGATTGAATTCTCAATTCTTATATGACCTACCTCCCCTTATAGTTTTAAACATTAATTTTGATGCATTCTGTATTCATCACAGGTTTCAATTTTTTTCCCCAGATAGCACAAAAAATAATTTTATAAATCATTCTTTTTTTGTTAATAAAATAGTTAAAATGTTAGAGAAAATTGCAAACAGCAAGTTAGCTCTATCAAATACGAAAAACCAAAATATTTGCTAAAATTATATTAGAACTTCTCATTTCAGTTTCTTTAATCAACAAATTTTTAAAAGTCTCCAACGAGTCTTTTCGTATTAAAATGCAGTTTAAAATCTCTTTCTCTCTCCTTAATTCAAACCAAACCCTTTCCGTCATTAATTCACAAGCATTCTTTTCTGTTCGGCTAAAGAAGTTTTTTTAGACATTTCTTTGCATTATGATGCGCCCAAAAACGAATATTAGCAGGTTTTTTTTAAAATGCTTTATCTATTACTATTGCACATGAGGTAATGGTTTAAAATTATTTTTACTTTTTATTATTTTTATTTACATAATATTATTTTGAATTATATTTCATAATTCTAAGAATTTTAACTCAAATTAAGAATTTTAACTCAAATTTTTTTTAAAAAAAAATAAGAATTAAACTTTTTTTAATCATCTGAGCGTCAGTCCCCGTTTTTTCTAAACTTTTATCTGCAAGCTTTCCTGCATCAAAAACCGATGTTTTTCCCATTTCATTCAGTGGGAGAGTATTGCAAAGCAGGGAAATTACCGTTCAATTTCATCCAAGGGAACAGCGCTTGGAGCGCTAAATTATTAGCACAACGTAAGAATAATTGCTTTCCTTGTTTAATTCAAATAATTAAAGAAAAGTTCTAAATTTTCAAAAAAGAAAAGGAAAAGGAACAATATATAAATTCAAAATACTTAATTTTTTTAACATTTATACTTCTATGAAATTTTACTAATTTATATTCAATATTTGATCAATTTTTAAATAAAAAGTTTTGAGATACGAAGGTTTATAAAAATTTTTTAATTTAAACTATTTGCAACATTTCGGAATAGTTATAAAAATTATTTCTTCGAGATTATTTGTATGATTATGAAGTAATACCGACAATTTAAAGGGAAAAAACAGACTAACATGTAACTAAATATTACACATAATACCTAAAATTCCTATTTTTAGGGCAATAAAGTGCTTTAACCATACTATAAAATCATGCTACACTGCTCAGAACAATTAAAGGCTGTTGTAAATCTTGTATAAAATAACGGTATAAGATTTTTTTTTTTTTTTTAATTTATTTATTTATTTTTTGTGTGCATAAAATGAAAGAAGAGAGTCATAGATGTAAATTTTTACTATTTTCAAACTTCACTTATAAACTTATAAATCTCGAGTTTGACGTAGAAGATGACGGTTTAGTAACAGCGAATTTGATTTGGCTTTGCACTTAATGTAAAACAAAGCGGAAAAGAATAATCGGCATTCGATCAGAAAGCACGTTGTTTCGATGAATGCGATGTCTCAACGAAGTCTTTTAACCGAATCAGAAACTTGGATAGTTGTTGGCCGATTAGAGGGCGGCCAAACACAAGCTGAAGTAGCAGAAGCCATTAAAGTTTCACGAAGTATGATTTCCAGGATCTGGGACCGTTTTTTGAAGACTTGAAATGCAGGCCAAAGTTCAGGGCAAGGGCGTAGACGTGCAACAACGCCCAATGAAGACCGTTATTTAACGCTAACGGCTCGGAGACACCGAAATATGAAATACACCTTTGCTCGGCTACTGGCACCACAGTTTCGACACAAACTCTCCGAAACCGGCTTCACGCTGTAGGTCTGTATGCCAGCCGATCAGTGGTGTGTGTCAATTAAAAGCAAGGCACTGTCACGCCCACAGGGAATGAGCAACAAAACGCGCGACCTGGAGGAGAAATCAATGGCGATATTCTTTTCTCTGACGAGTCCCGTTTTTCTGTTCATCCTGACAATAGGCGTATTTTCATCTGCAGGGAACGTGGCACTAGAAATAATTCTGCGTGTGCAAGATTTGGCGGTGGGGGAGCTATGGTCTATGCTGGCATCTCCATTGATGGCTACACCGATCTCCATATCATTCGAAATGGAGAGCTGACCAGTCGCCAATATTGGGTTACGATCCTAAAATCTATTGTATTCCCTTACGCGGCAGCAATCGGAGATGACTTCATGTTAATGGACGACAATTGGTGGCCATATCGTGCTAACTTGGTGAATGATTTCCTTTCGGATGAAAGAATCATACAAATGGATTGGCCAGCGTGTTCTTCGGACATGAAACCAATCGAGAATATTAGGGACATTCTAGGCTGACTAATTGCTGGACACCTACCGCCTCCACAAACTCTCCAAGAACTGGAAAGAGCTCTTCCGGAGGAGTGGAACAGAATACCCCGGCGCAGTTCATTTATTACCTCATTGACTCAATACCTCAAAAGATTCAACGTTGCTGGCGGTCCGGGGAAACTATACCCCTTACTAAAAACAATTTTCTGTTAAGGAAACACCTTTTTTTAAAATTTGCTTTTCTCATATGCACAAACTGTGTTTTTTTCTTTTCGTACCCAAATGCTCAATGAAACTCATTTTTCTTCTGCCAAACAAATGTCATTTTTATCTCATATAGCCTACTACGTCTGTCGATAAAGCATCAATAATTCTAACAATTCTCCAGGTGTAGGATCAACCCACAACCTCAATATCCCTTAATTATTTTATTGTATTTATTTTCATTTTTCATTTTCTACGTAGTTACAGTCANACAAAAGAGCAGTGAGAATCGAGGCTTGAGACTATTTATTGTGTCGTTTTGCGTTTCCAATTTTATTTTGCAAGGGTCACGGTGCTCAGCTATTTTTTCGAGTGACTGTAGTAGCACTTATATTTGAAAATGCTTGAACTTGGTTGCTACTCAGTACTTTGTATTATTATTTTTTACTTATTTATTTTCCTTAATCATAAAAATATTTAACCAACTTAAAATTGAAATTTATAGTGCTTCTTTATAATCTCTGTTAACAGAAGCACAAATCAATGACTTTGTCTCAATACAGCAGAAGTAAGCTACAGGAAACGTTCTCGTTGACCTAATATTAAATATTTTTGCAACACAGCTGATTGTCGAGTTGTCTGTAACTTTGACTCAGCATTTGCTTTGCTTTTGGTTTGCTGAGATGTAAACTGTTAAGTTAGTGTTTATTTTGTGATGTACACAAAATACAAATATTAATTACGCTTTGCATTTGTTTTCTTAAATTATTTCATTCTAAATTTTAGTCAAATCTGAATATTTTTATCAATTGCCATGTATACGTAAATTGTAAGTTATTTTATCTTAGCAACAGAAATGTACGTGTTATTTAATGCTCTTGTTTTTTAAAAATCTGCTGATATGTGAAGCTGTTCTTGAATAACTTTATATTACAGAGTGTGGCGATGGTTGACATTTTCTAAAATGGTTAAATTAAATTTATTTTGTTCAAGAATGACTATTAAGTGATTCATGAAGTCGTCCAATATGCTTGTCAAAACCTCTAAAACCATAGCACTGTGCTCATTAGCGAATTTTATAAATGCGGCAGATAGAATTCTTATGCCCATAGCCATTATTCCTATGACTGATCATCATAAATGGAGTTTGTATTGGCAAGGATGGATTTTAAGTGCATTTGCATTTGGTTATATTACTAGTCAGGTGAATTTGATTTTTGGTATTTATTTCTGGCTGTTTATTTTTTTAAGACGTATTATTTTTATAAATCCATGTAGTATTTATTGAAGACTATGTATTTATCTAAAGCCCTAACATTTAAGTACAATGGGCAAAAAAAAAAAGAAAAAGATCTCACCCTGAATAACTTATGTTCTAATGATCGGATTTTCACGTACTAAGTGTCAATCTTAATGGTTCTTGTGGGTGACGTCAAATGTGCTAATTATTTAATGCTAACTATTAATTAAGTTACGAATTTGGAAACAAAATTGTACTTTTTCTGAATAACATGTATTTTTGTTTACATATTTGGATTCTTCAAAATATAGGGGTAGTGGCAATCTGGGAAATATGGTCCCCATAATTTATTCAGGAGAGTGATTCGAAGTTTGGATTCCTTAGTGTTAATTTTACTTTTTGAGTTTTTAGTCATATTTTTATAACTAACTAAGCAATGAAAAAAAATTTGCACCCACTCATTTACCCAAAGATAATTTCATGCCAAAAATAATTTTTATAATTTAATTTAATTGAAGATGAACAAATTTTGAGGTATGACTTTTTTTTTTACCATATTAATCTACATATTTTTCTATTTAAAAATCTAAAGTTTCAACTGTTTTTATTTAGTAGAAGCTGAGAAATATTAAAATTAATTATATTTTAAAAAATAATTTGGTGACAAGAAATAAATATTTAAATGGAAGGATAAATATTAAAATGTGATTAACTTACGAAGAACTTGACTTATGCGCTCGTAGCGTAAAATTTCATTAACATTTTTTTCACTGATAACTGGTTGCTAATCTTGTTTTTAAATTTTTTAAAGTATAAAATATGGTGTTTCTTTTTAGTCGTCAAAATTTTTTTTTCTTCATAATTTAGTAAAGTTTGAATAAAACATTTTATTCAAAGAATGAAGAGTTTCACAAAAGTATGCTTCTGATAGAATATAATTATACATCAGATTATGCTTATGTTTAATGTGACTATATTTAATTTTTTAATTTGTTTTTTCAATAATTGATACAATTTCAGCATTATACATATGTATGCATAGATTTGGAATAATATATTTATCCATTTCTTCAAATTATTAATACAAATACGTTGATAACATTTTTAAGCATCTTAAAATTTCTCAATATTTTATATATCATCTTAATCTTAAAATAAATTTTTTAATCACCTCTCCGCTTGTGTTTCACAGAACTGTTTTACCAACTATTTAATTAATTTTTAACATTTTTAAAAATCTTATTCTTTACGCTGCCATGTGTATTATTTATTCATTAATATACTAATAATTTTTTTTTAGTACTTTAAGTTTTCTTTTAAAATGAAGTTTTTTTTAAAATTATTGTCTAGTTTTTATTAAAAGATAAATTAAAATTATTGCCTGCTAGCTCAGAATAAAATTTTGTTAAGAAATTAAAAATATTCTGCTGTTTAAAATTATCTGATGCTAAACAGCTGACTATTTACTAAGCATACTATTTTTTCGAAAAATGAAATAAGTTTTTTCGTTTCTTGTGACTTCAACATATGGATTACCTAAAATAGTGTTGATGTTTTATAAGTCACTACAAGGGGTATAAAAATACCGAACATAAAAAGCCGTTGAATACATAGCCAAAATTTTTAAGCTTCTTAAAATATGTCAATATCTTAAATGTCATCCTAACATCTTAATTGAGAAATTAAATTTTTAATTACCTGGCCGCATGTGATTTACAGAACTATCCAACTAATTATTTCATTATATCTTTTACTCTTTCTTTTTGCTACCACGTAGATTTTTTTCTTGATAATATACTAAACTGTTTTGTTTAATTTTTATTGGTACATAGAGGCTTTCTTTAAAGTAGCACTCATATTAAGTAATTGCTAAGTTATTTTTTTTTTTTCGAATCTCAAAACTATAGCCAGTTAGCTGATAAGATTTTAAAAACATTTCCTTTGTTAAAATTACTCAGGCAAAACGTTTGACTGATGATAGTAAACAAGTGTACCCTTTTCTCTACGATTAAACAAAGAATTATTTATTTACTTTATTGTTTCTTATTTGTTTGGTTTGTGAAAAGTGAATACATATTAATGCAACTAAAAAAACTACACCTGTTTGCTTTGTTTTTTTAAATAAACGAATTCAAACCGCAATTTTATTTTCACGTTTAAACTTATATATTGCACAGTTAATTTTAAGAGAGTTGCTCTTTCAAAAAAAGATGTAGGAAAATTTTCTTTTGTTAAAATTATTTTCAACTTAAGCACAATTCCGAAGATATTATTATAACATAATTTGTTGTTAAGAAAATATCTTATTTTGTTAAACAGCAAATACTAAAAATTGAAATTTGTAAAAAAAGTCTGAAGCCATGCCAAATTTAGTATAATCTGATTTAAAAAAAATGCAATAAAAGATACACAATTTTTGAACTTATTTTAATAAGAAAAAATATGCAACACGAAGGTTAATGCATTTTTTAGAGTCCGTAAAAACCAATTTTTCCTATATTTCGTCATCGGAATGATATTTCTCCAAGGACCCTACTCAATAATTTCGCTATTTCCAGAATTGAAATCTGTTTAGACAAAACGTATTATTCCTTGAAAGCAAAACATGAAAAATTTTACTATTATATATCTAAGCTTATTCCATTTATTTAATGATAGCGTTATCAAGGTTAAGGATATGTGATAGAAGCCCCATTTAGCAATTCAATCATATAGGCATTAAATCCAGGGTTGGGGTTTTGGACGTCCTAAACTGGTTTTGGACAGGACACGTGGGTTTTACTGTCTTAAACTGGGTAAAACTGTCTTAAAGTGTCTAAAACCTTGAACTTTGGTAAAAGGTAAAAATTCTATAGATGTAACCATTGTACACATAATAATTACTTGTATCAATAAATATTTGATATTTTTTATACAATTTACTATGACTTATTAAAAGAAAGTAATATAATATAATAGGAAAAGGTTTATAATTTTTGAAGCTCCTCAATTCATTGAACAACAAAAGTGAATACCTTATCCTTTAAATATAAATATGCTTTTAATACTGATAAATAATATTTTTGCATAAGGATAAATATGGCAATAATTAAAAAATAATAATTTTTCTTAAAAAAAATACTAAATTTGTTCAAAAATTAACCTTTTATATTTTTTTTAAAAAAAATGTTATAATTTCTGCATCACAGGATGATGAAAAAGACATCTATTTTAAAAAAAAATTTTTTTTTAAATATAAATATATTAGTTTAAGTTGAAAATACAAAATAACTGAAAAATGTATTAACAATTTTAAAGGGCATAACATCAGTTTCAGTTACTGACACTGGCGATGTATCACCACTATGCTAAAAGAATTGAACATTAATGAAATAAAAGTATTCTTGAATAGTAACATAGATAAATAAACCTGTTTATGATGAACCAAGCACTTAGTTCCTAATATTTTAACCTGTATGGCAAAGCCAAACTTCAGTTATGTACTATTGAATGAGAGGACCAATTGAACTTGATTACTGATCAATCTTCCTTTGTTTAAATTGAAGAGTCAAACAATATTAATAAAACATTATACTTTTAAAAACAAATATTTTTTAGTATATGTAAGTATCATTACGTTATCAGTTCTATGTTTATTTTACCTCTTAAATATTGTTCAGATAAAATTGTGACATAATTTGAATAAAAGGGTTTTGGACAGTTTTAGACAAAGGGGTTTTGGACAGGACAGGTTAAACCAGGGTTTAAACCGCGGATTAATCCATTCTGTACTAAACCTTGCCTACCCTGATTAAATCATATAGCATTAAAGGCATTAAATCATATAGTTTGAATAATTTATTTTATGAAAATAAGGGTGTAAAAATAAACTCGATCAAAATACGCCTAAAGTATACCCTAAAATGTATGTAGAATAAACTTTGGAATCGATAAATAAAAAATACCTTTTCAAACCACTTTGAGTAGGACGGAAACGATAACTTGTTTGAAATAGCTGTCCTTTTAACTCTTTAATTTTGATTCATGGTGCTAGGGAAGGGATCAAATAAAGTCATCTAATATACTGTGTTACTAAATGAATAACCCCAAGAAACTGGATGGAAAAGATAAAAACTTCATTGATTTAAAAAAATAATAGATGATAATAAAAATAGACTTATTTTGAGCGCCAGTAATTAAAGTCACAAGTCAGTCACGTCTGACGAGTCTTGAGAGTGGGCGCTTGTATTTGAACGCTCGAAACATGTCGACTTTTATTTTTATTTCAGGGAAGTTGCAATCTGGGAAATCCGGTCCGATGCTTTGGTTGAGTGCAAGCAAAAGTTTGAACATAGAATTATTTAAGCAAATTGAAAAATTTTTGCCCACAATTATAAAATTTATGTACTTTCTAAAGATTATTTTACACAAGGATTATTCCACCCAAAAAATTATTTTTAATTACTATTTTTATTTTTTTTTACTTTACTTAATACATGAAAAAATTTTGAATTGCGAGATTTGCAAATTTTTATATGATTTTAAAGAATGCAATCCTATATGCTAAAATACAAAACTCGAGAGAAAATGGATGAATAGTTCAGAGGAATCAAATTTTAACTATCTGACTTTTAAAATTTGAATTTTTCGGGAAATATTTTACCTACTTCATTCAAATTTTGTATTTTGCTATATAAACTTTCGTTCCATAAAACCATGCAGAAATTCGTATACCTTTTAAGTAAGAAATTTTTTCAATTTTTATATAAAATTAGAAAAATAATTAGTTATTAAAATTTATTTTTGTATAGAATTATCATTGGATAAACGTATTTTATATGCAAAACATTTTCAATTTGTTTGCCTAAAGGTCTTGAGATATGGCGAAATATACCAAAACTAAAATTAACATCAAGGGGTCAAAATTTTGACCGCTCTCATGATTAAACTATATGGACCATATTTCCCACAGTGCGTCAATTTTCTGTATTTGGGTGTCAGAAAACCAAATCTATTGGAAAAAAAGGCCTGTTTATTTAGTGAAAGTACATTTTTGTGTCTGATATTATATCACTGCTTATAGTTTTATTATTTCATTAGGGCTATTTGTTCTTCATTGTAAATTTGAATTTATTAGAATTATAAAATTCATAATCTTTAAAAAATTACTTTTTTCAGAAGGTTATCTCCTGAATAGAATTTTTTTTTTGTTGTTGAAAATTTTGATTTATTTCATGGAAATGTATAAATGAATATCTTGTAGTGCAATTTTTACATCTGTGTGAATTATGTCTATAACAGCCAGTTTCTTAAAAATATTAAATTCATGATAGTTAACAATAATTAGAACTTGCATAAAATTGCTTGATAATTTTAATCAATAAAGTTATTTGCATTCAGGATCTGTAAATATTAGGTCTGTAACAAAGGAATTCCCTCTATTGATGATATAGCTCTATTGTTCAAAAATCTACATGTAGATTAAAGACATAACCATCAAGAATTGTATGGTGATTTAAAATACTAAACACAATTTGTAGGCAATATATTGGAATCCCTTGATCTATTCCATGGTGACCTCATTCTCCAGATCTGCACATAATTTTTTTTAAGGCTTTACATGAGAACCCTAATGTGTATGTAACCCTGTGGGATTCAAAATGAAAACAAGTTGCTGCAGCTAGTAAAGATATGGTCGATACATTAGGGAATTTGTGAACATTTATCGATAGATATGCTGTTATTGCGATTGTGTATTATTGCTACAGGTTGTAACCTTAAACAACTGATTTAAAAATTTTTAAAACAAAATTGTCTATAACACATTCATGGCATTGTCTATAAATTATTATTATTTGTGACCTGTACTACTTTATTTAGTCTGGCTTTAAGGGCATGAATTTGCAACCGCATAGTCCTATGTAATTCTTGTTATATTTTTGACCTAGTTGTTGGTTTTTTGACAATAGCTCTGAATCACTCTGTATTTTGGTTTTGCTTATAGGAGGCTAATAGTTTTACCATTAGAATTTTCTCCCTTCTGTTATATATTTCATACTTTATCGGATGCCAACACTTGATTGTCATCAAAATTTGGTGACTATTTTGGTGCATGATGCAGTTAGAAAATATTCTCGCCAACTTTTATAGATATATTATTTGTAGTATTTGGTCTATTTTCTGAAGAAACGAATTTAAAGTTTGTCTGTTGGTACCAAGAACAAGTCTAATAATAATATTACTCATAGTTCACTTGTCCTCTTTTCAAAACCCTTTTGTAAGCAACACAAACAATAGATCCTGACTGCCAAAATTCTTTTACCTTACCAAGAATATGATTTCATAGTGAAGCCACTTATTTTTGGAAAATTATAAGCCAATTAAACTCTAAAATGTTTCCTCGCATGGTTGCTAAAAAAAAAAAACAGAAATTAAGTAACTCTTTTTAATTGAAGTGTATTTAAATTTGTGATTCTTTTTTACTTAACTTGATTTTTTCATTTTTTATTTTTTTGCTAAATGTTAAACCAGCTGAGGCTTAAGATGATATTTAGTGTTAAACCAGCTGAGGCTTAAGATGATATTTAGTGAAATAATATTTGATAAATCATTAATGAAAAAATTATTGTGTAAAATAATTTCATAGTGCATAGTAAATTTAATTGAACATTAAACTAAATGTGTGTATAAGGTAATTTTCGCAAGAAATAGATTTTTATTTTGAGTAATTTAGTTTATGTTAACTTTGATTTATGACTCATTAACATATTTATAAAATTAATTTGCTTAAAAGATGTTAATGTAATTTATTCTGACTTCTGGTCTAGAAACTAAATGCATTTACAAGTTGTGACCACTGCAATATTTTACACCTGAAGAATTTTTATTTAACGATCAGTATTTAAAAAGTAGGAAAATAAATAAGTGAAATTCAGTACAATTAGTTAAAGGAAGAGACATGAAATAACAAAACAGTGCAATAATTTAATTGTATGCATTTTTCTTCTTAATCATACTTCTGGTATAAGTAACCTTAAAGTATTTATATACATTATCTAGCTATAATTAGGATGAAATTCTAATTTCATTTGCTAGTAGTAAAAGCTACAGTCAACTTTTGAAATGCCTTTTGTGCTGTAATCTTGCAATTTAAGTTGCATCTGTTGTACCCAAGAAAACGAAAATAAATTTCTGATATGATTCAATTCTGAATTCCACTAGAATTTTCTTATAAATATCAAGTTCTAGGAACCCCTCACACGAGTCTTGTGAAAAAATGTTTAATTCGATTTTGTTCTATACCCTTGAATTTTTTATTAAATTAACTTCAAAACAGCTCTGTGCATCTTTTGAGAAATACTATATCCCCCAGCATTTTTAAACAGTAAAAATTGAACTTCTTCAATTATTAAAAATTTTGATATTTTGAATTAATTTTTATTTATTTATTTTTAATTTCTAAATTATTTAACAAACGTTTAATTAGTTAATTTTAACTTAATTCCAGGTTGGGCATCTATCTAAATACTTCAAAGAGGAAAGCTATATCTAGGAATTTTAACTTTTTAGTTTAGGACCTAAAAACTTCATATTTGCTTAAAAGAACTTTTTATTTATTTATTTCAGATCATTGGTGCAAGTGCTGCATCGAAATTTGGTGGTAAAACTGTCATGACATTTGCTGTTTTTCTTTGGTCTGTTTCAACTGTCATTACACCATTAATTGCTTCATCATTAACTCTGCTCATTATTTGTCGAATATTGTTAGGCCTTGGAGAAGGCATAGGTACACATTTAGTTAAATTTTGCATTTGCTTTTTATTTATATTATGCAATTATTTAATGCAACTTTATTATTTATTTTATCTAAGTTTCACTGTACTTGAAAACAAATAACAAAATCCTTAAAATTATATTATCGTTAAAATGTTAAAAAATTATAGTTAATATGTTAAACGCATTTAATAGGCTTTTTATAGTACAGACTGAAAAGATTTTAATAATTTAAATTAATTATTTATGACATATACCTCAATAATAATTTTTAGATTATATTAATCCTTTATAATAATGTATAAATAGAAAATGTTGAAGGATATTTGAATCAAAATTAACGCATGTCGACTTTTCAATTCTTTGTATGTTATTTAATTATTGTTTTTATTGCATGAATAAGTAAGACCATCATAATCAAAGCTTAACTATGCAAATTTGATGGGGATTGACAAATTCTTGATGTGGAAAAATTCCATATAGACTTCTTTCAAGAAAAATTCCAGTTAAACTTCTAAATTCGGTGGATTTTGCAATACTGTACATTTCAAAATAAGTGCCACATCATGATAAAAAAATAGAAAAACATCTATAAAATACAATGAATTATGGAAAGTGTGTTTCAGAAAATTTTTTGTTCGTGAGTTTTACCAAGAATGCCATTTAGCTAAAATCTGAACAGTTCAAGCTTTAATTTAATTGAAAAAAATAAGTATTTTTTTATAAAAGAATATATATTTTCCTTAATCTGTAATACATGCAAGAGAATCATCAAATTTCACCAAAGTAGGACTTTGTTTTTTACAAGAATTAAAGGTTTTTTACAAGATTATGAAAATATATCAGTCAGCGTTGTAGTGGCAAAAATTTTAGTCATGGTAATAATATAAACCAATTTCAACATTTTGCATATTTTTTTTAGTATGAAGTGGTGTAGAAATTTTCTATGTGCATATGGTTCGAAATATTCAACAATTTTAAATTAAGTGTTTTTAACATTTAATTTAAATTTATAACATAATTTAATGCCGAATTTAAAAAAAATGTAGTTCCTTAATACAAGCACCATATATACATATTTATTTTTGTGCCATTTATATTTTAAATATATTTTACAAAAATTCAAGATAAATGTTTTAATTTGCAATGTAATCAGTTTTTCAATAGACTTTGCTCTTCTGGTTCTTACATCATTTGCTGAATAGTATTTTCAAAACTATGTTATTATGTTTATTTCTGGCTTCCATTTTCAATTGTGACTTATGTTTGATGAACATTATAGATGAAACATTTAAGATATATTATCTTGATCTTGTTATTATAATAGTTCATCTCGCTCATTTCAATTAAAAATCATGTACGAAATATAGCCTTCTGGAAGTTCTAGTAATAACTGCTTTTCTTAAGGTATAACTGGAAAGACAAGTTTTCCTAATTTTTTTTTACATTGTTTTTTGTCTTAATTTAAATTTTTTTCTAACTTAATAATTTTTATAAGGGTAATATTTTGGACTCCTTAGATACTGATTGGTTTTTTATTCTGATCTCTGTATGAACCCTGAAATAAATAAAAATAATTTTATAGCACATGTTTTATAATTATGTACAGCACAGTCTGTATTTGTAATTAATTTACACAAAATTTTAGTAGATAAAAGTGCAAAGCAGCTGCATAGTTGTTTATTTGTACTGAATTCATTATTTGCATGTAATCACTTTCCTTTAAAATTGTTAATTTGAATTTTTTATAGGTTTACCCACTGTGTTTAATATTTTTGCTCATTCCGTACCTGTTGAAGAACGTTCTCGTGCTTTTGGATATTTAGTGGCAAGTGGAACTGCTGGTCAGACAATAGCTGCTCTGGTAATTTTCTCTTGAAGTATCAAGATATTTCTGTATTTATCACATTAAATACTTACAAGTTATATTTTGCTCACATTTTGAAATATTTTTTTTTTTTAAATTGTTAGGAGTTTACGCTGTTTAATTTTCTGTTATATAATTTTTTTAAAGGCTCTAAACTTTTTATAAATCACATCTCGATTTGCAACCAAGCATTCTTTATTCTACTATAGAATTGATATTAGTAAAAAGCAATCGTCGAATGGAGTATTCTCTCAAAACTGCTTTTATCATAATTCTAGAATTCTAATTTTAAAAAAATTACTTTAAAACTGCTTGCACAAAGAGTTAAGTTATAAACAGATATTTATTTACAAAATGAAGAATTTAAAAAAATCTTTTTTAAGTTATAGTTAAGCCAATTGAAAAGGACCTTCAAATTTTATATCTATTGGTTACAAACTCTGTCATGCTGTTCTTGGATAAATAGAAGTTAATCAAACTACTTTTCAATTCTTTTTTACATATATCTTGATTTGAAGGATTTTAATTTCATTTTTCTATTTAGTGACAATAGTAATTCACCAATTTATTTATAAAAGTATTTATTAAGCAATCATTTCTAATCCTTTCAATGTTTTCCTTAGTGATTTATTTTTTTGTAATTATTATAAAAACTTAGAATAGTGGTTAGTGAATACCTGTATTTCAAAAGGGAAGCATCTGAGCTGTTGTATTGTTTACAACAAAGAAATGTACAGCGAGCAAATTCAACCAATTACTAGATTCAGAATTCTTGAATGGCAACTCTAAGTATAGTCTGATTATTCCTGAATTATATATTCCTGTCCAGTATATATGTCAGATATTCTGTTTTCTTGGCACAAGTTTAGACCACTTGTAAATACCTTCACTCTGTATTTAGTTTAATTTTGATTACTCAAAAATTTCTAGATTAATGTATATATGTTGACAAGTATATATGTATATATAGGCTGTAATTAATTTTTAATTTTCTGTTTGTAATTTAATTTTAATTCAATGTGCACTTTGTATAATGCATGCTTGTTCGTTAATAATGATCAGTAGGCAAATAGGTCAATGTGTTATGGTCCTATTTGTCTATAATAATATGTTTCTTTTCAGACTGTTAACTTGGGTTGCACAATCTGTAACTTGGGATTCAAATATGATTTCTGAAATGTCAAACTGAAACTCTCTGTGAAATTTAATTGAAACATATTTTATAAATTTTTTTTAAGTGTTTTTCAAATTTATTTCAATAAACTTTGATGGAAAAAAAGCACTTAAATTATAACATAAACTGAAATATTAGTGTAAGATGTCTAAAGGTTTAAATCTTTTGTAATTTTAATCTATTTCAGCTGAAGCATGTTCAAAACTATTGTTCAAAGACTTATTTTAAAATTAAAGATGTAAATATAATTTATATACACTGAATAATAAAATGTTTTCCAGGAAGTGCACAAACTATCAAAATTTTCTGAAATATTATGCATTTTCTTTGCCCATAAAATTTTAAGAAAAATTGATATTGTTCTTATTATACTTTACTAATGAATAAATAAGTTATTATTGAGTAATATAAAAACCAAGATCATTGTCTCCTGAAACCTAATATTTTTATAGCCCTCTTCTGAAAAAAAAGTTGTGCACTCTTACTATTAAAAATGTGTTAAAATTGTATGTTTTTTTTATGACTTGAAATTCTTTCCATAAATAAATCATTTATATAAGATAGATAATTGTGATAACAAGTTTTTAAGCTTATTTTCATGCTTAAAATATCTAAACTTCAACATATATTTTGATATTATTTTTTAAACTTTTCTTTGCAGATTTTTTCAGACCTCATACAAATTTTATTTATATGTTATTTCATTCAACATGTTAAGTTTTAATGTTATATTTTATTGGGATTTAGGTATGTCCACATTTACCATGGCCTTGGATGTTTTATTCTTTTGGAAGTCTTGGCTTTGTTTGGGTCTTACTGTGGATAGTATTATATGCTGAAATTCCAAATTATGGAGATGAGGAATTGCCATTAGTTTTTCCAAAGGTTAAAATACTTATTTTTTTATTTGTCTTCATAACTTTTTTATGTACATTCATTAGACTTGCTTTCTTTATATGTCAGCAGAGATTGTGATAATAGTTTGAAAAAGTTGAGAATTTTGTTTGCTGTTAATTATTTAATTCACAATGCTGATGACCCACTTTTAATTTTGTTTTATGTCTGTTATAAGTGTTCTTTGAGGAGCTAGCCTTCAGGTCAAAAATTATTTATAATCACTGATTTTATAATCACTGATTGTTTAGCAAATTGATACATTTGAGGTCCCTTTTTTGTACTATTGAAAATGGTGATTATAATATAAATACATATACTCCTGAAGGTTACGCAATCCTTGAGTGGTTTAAATGTTTTATAATATCTGATCTTTAATCAATTATGGGTTGCTTTTCACAGCAATTCTGAAGAATTTATCTCAGGTACATACTTAATTGTATACTTAAACATAATTCCGAATGACAAATCTAATTAGTTTTTGCTTTTAGCTTTTCTACTATTTATACAGTGCATAAAACTAACAAAAAAAAATTGATTTTTTTTTGTTACGGCAAATTTCCTAAGTAATAAAACTTAACTCTACTTAATTTTCTTTTGAGCTTTTTGTAAGCTGTTCTATTAGTTTCTTACATTTACATAAAACTAAAGCTAGAGATTAGGCATCAAGGATCAAGCATTTTTAAGGATTATTTTGTTGCTAAAGGATATGTTTCTAACTTATAATTCCAGATGTTATGTTTCTAACGTATAATTCCTGAAGTTCCTTAACAATAAAAAATACATTCATTCAATTGTTAGTTCTGGGCTATAATAGTTTTGTAATAATGTTAGAGTGTTTGAATAGGAGCTTAAAATTTTCTGAGTCATATTACCAAACCTTTGCTGAAATCTTTATCTTATTGTGAGAATAAAAGAAAGGGAGAAAATTTATAAAAAGGAGGAAATTCATAAACATTAGCTAAAATTATTTTATTTTGGCTCCAGGTAGTAAAATAAGAAATCTTTTAAAAATTATTTTACATGAAATTATCTTTACGATTGATATTACAACTGTAAACTAAATATTTATTTAAATAGGAAATATAATAGAAATAAATCTTTTGAACAATCACAAAAGTTTATGAAATAAATTAAACAAACTTTTTAGAACACTTACATAAGACTAGGAAATTTATATTAAGAAAAATTGATCTAAATAAGTACAGTTTTTACTTTTCATCAAATGACATCAAAAGGACGTCATGAAAATTTCCATCAAGCCCTTTTATTTTCAATGAAAATGTTAGAAATATTTAAAGACAATATGCGTAAATAAAATTTTATTCCAAAAATATGATATATTTCTTTTCCTTCTACATTCTTTATTAATAAATAGTTTGTATTACAAATAATCTATTTAGTCCTATTCAACACAATAGTAGTTTAGTTGAATTATAAATAATTAACATTTCATTAAGCAACTGTATTATGCTACATTCTAATGATCACTTTATTATGTATAAGATTTTAAATAATACTCACATCTGACAAAAAATTTTAGACTCATACTTCAGTGAATAAGAAGTATCAGGTTATATTTTCACTTGTGTTGTAATTAATATTTTATGTAAATAATTTTGAAAACATTATTGGGATTTAATTTTTAGGTCACTAAAGTGAATGTCAGATGGATTGAATTCATCAGCCATTGGTCTTTGTGGGCTGTATACATTGCTCATTTTGCCATGAATTGGTCAAATTACATCATAATGCAATGGTTGCCAACTTATTTGTCTCGTAATCTTGGGGCTAATAAAGAAGACATTAGCTTAACTGCCATGCCTTACTTAATAAATTCTTTATGTGGAGTGGGTAAGCAATTCTCTTCTTTTTCTAAAGCATTTATGTTATAAAAATTGTTAACATGAATTCTTGGCCTATTTGCAGTTTTACTCTAAAAGATACAATTAGGTTTATTGTTTATTACTTAAAAATTTGATGGTAAAAGAGTTTATTATCACTGTTCAGTTGTTTTTTATGCATATTAGGAAAAAATAAAAATAATTATGTAATATGAAACAAATTCTTTCACATGCATGACTATTTTTTTTTACTGCTTCAGTGACATATTTTTTTACAACATAATAAATATCATAAATATTATTTCTACTAAATATTTCTACATATACACAGGATGATCATAAAATAACATCAGTGTTTAGAATCTTATTACTAACAACTACTGAATCAAATTTCTTCAAATACCACACTATTTCACATTATAAGTTAAAATTTACTTTGAAAAAATATTTTTTTTCAAAAATGTCAAATTAATGTAGTTTTTTTAAGTGATTTTGTCTTACAATAAAACTTGAAGTATGATTTTCAAAATTAAGTTTTTTTTCTGAATATCAAATCTAAACTTATTGACATCCTCTGACATTTTTGGATTCTAAGATTTGGTTCATGATCTAAAAAATCTAAGATAATGATAATTTTATGGTTACCCTCTGTGTATTATTATTTTACCATGCTACTTTGAATTTCATATTCTAACATTCTAGTGCCTTTGTATATAAATTGTTACTGGTCTTTATCATCATATTTCTGTTATATTAATATAATAATTACCCTGACTGGCTGATATCCCTTTAATACACTTACTTCCCTAAATAACTCTCATGCTAATTTCGGGGAAAATAAATTCAGGAGACATTTTGAAATCTAATGTTACACTTGTGCTTAGCAAATTCATTACAAATGAGGTATAATGCATAAGGTCATTACAAATGAGATATAGTTCAAAAGCATTAACCTTAGATTGAAATTCATGGAAAATTAGCTTGTATTGCAAAAACCAGGTTTACCAGGTCTTATCAAAAAACTAGATTTTGTGTTCACAATTTATTTGATATTATGTTTTAAAATTGTGTGTATCATTAAAAATTTTAAATTTAATAATTTTGGTAGTAATTAAATTTTATACTTTAATGTTAACTCTAATATACAAAATTTTGAGGAAATCTCATTTGTTCCACTGGAAAGAAAACAGGCTGAAAGATAAAACTTCATTTTCTGGTGTTTAAGTATATTCACCAAAATGTTAAGATTAATAGAACAGTGTATTTATTTCTATATTTGAGCTGTTGAGTCATTTTCTTAGATATGAAAACAGCCAATTATGATATTTTTAGCCTTTTCTAGTGGCAAGTATTGTAAAAGCCTCTTCGAACTATCAAATTTATTGTTTTAATGTTTCTGAACTACATAAGTAGAATTTAGAGAAGTTCAGATTTTGTGTTTATTTGCATTGGAAAATTTTACTTAGATTTATTTAAGACCAATTGATGCCTGTACTAGCAATTGCATTATCAATGACATTGAAAAATATCTTTCTTACTAAGAAATAATTTTTAGCTTATTTAAATCTTGAGGGATTTATACAATTGAGAATGGTCTAGTTTTTGGAATTTGTAATATATAATGTATATGATTTCTAAAGTATTTATCTAATTATAGTAATTTTTTAAGATAATTTTACACAAAAAAGTAAGTTTGCAACATCTATAAGCAAGCTAATCTGCACTGTTTGCTATCGATATTTTTTTTGATGTTAATGTATCTGAAAAGTTAATAATTTTTAAACTGCATTTAAATATTTGAATTCTAAAGCTATTTTCAAAAAAGAAATCAAAAGTGTAAGAAAAGTGTAGTTTTAAAGAAAGCATGTTAATTATTAAAAAAAGTTATGTTGCTTGTTGTTGTTGCTTATCCCCTTTGGCATAGAAAAACTAAACCAAATCCAGGAGACCATATAAGGCCCTTTGGCATAGCAAAACTAAACCCCTGTGTAAGTTATTTAAATCAAAAACTATATTTCCCTCATTCAACAGCTGTTCCACAAAGGCATCAATACAATCTAAAATTTGAGAGGGAGAAGAAATGGCAGAACAGCGGCAAACAGCATAAGTCTTCTTGTTTCTGTTAAAAAAATTAGACTCGTTATGTGACCAGTCCTAAGTCTAGATAGAGTAGCCTGAGTAAGTTTTGGGCAGGTGTACTGCAATGACAGTCCAGGGGACTCAGCAGCATACCAGGCATGTTTGAGTGAAGTCCTCCAAGTGGTGTGTATATTGGCCAAAAACAAGGAGTGGACCCCAGAAGTTCACAGTGTGGTAGAAAGAGCAGTGGAGACTGTTTATGCAAAATTTAGATGTGACTGATCCATGATAAGGGCAAGAAGCAGCTTCAGTTCAAAGAGGAACCACAGGGGCTGAAGTTTGACTTTTCCTCAGGGTGCCTGTTAAGCTTTAGCTATACAAATAGGGTGGCCTTTCCACCTTAGGTTGCCTTACCAGGAGAATATTCTCTTGAGGTATTTCACCCAGCCTGTCCAGGGTCACCCTCCTGTCAGGTTGAGGCAGCAAAGCAGGACTTGGGAGAGAAAGTTAAATATTAGTTATCAAAAAGTAACTTTAGAAATATTTTTTAAAAATTTAGAAGAATCAAAAATAAATAGTTGACCTTTTAAACTTTAATTTTAAATCCTCGTACAAATTTTTTGTTTTAAATGTAAAATCATATTTTTCTTTCAGTTTCTGGTCATTTTGCTGATTCTTTAATAACTCGTAAATGGACAGTGTTGTCTGTTCGCAGATTAATGACTTGCATTGGTCTGATAGGCCCTGGAGTATTTCTATTGTGCTTTAATGCTGTAAATAATTTATTAGCTGCTGTTGTGTAAGTTCTTTTAAATTTTTATTTTTTACATTTTTTAAATTATTTGCCATTTAATATTGTATTGTTAGGCTTTTGATTGGAACTGAAGTATTTCTCCCAACTAATGAAAAAATTATTTAAATTTTTTTTTTATAACTTAAGTTTAGTTAATCAAAGAGTGTGAATGAAAAGTTTCCATTCCTTCTAGAGAGAAATAAGCAGTAAAGCATTTAAACTCGTCAGATGTTATAAAGTGGAAATACTTTTTTTTTTGTTTGATTCTGTCATTTTCAAATTTTATCTAATCAGTGGGCTCTTTTTATATTTGACATTGATATTTTAAATGATCTGTAGCATTTTCCATTAACCACAATGTTAAAAGTAACTTTTTAACTCCAATTTTTTTTAAGTTCTATGATTAAAAGAATTTACCAAACTATAAAGCCATATTTCAAGATATAATGTTGAAAAATTAAATTCTTTGAATAAGAAGATAATAATAAAATTAAAAGGAAAAAAATAGAAAGGATGAATATTCGCTTTCAATAATGTTCACGAAATATTTTTTCGCTATTCACCATAGAAATCTCCCATTAGCTCCACCTTGACAGATATTTCCATGATTAGTCATTAGATTTTTGCAAGTCAGTATAACTGTTCTTGTATTTAAAACAGCAAACGTACAGCTTATCAGATGAATTTGTAATCTTGTATAGCTTCAAAATAGCAAGTCATTGAACATATAATGCTTTAAATTAAAAGAAAAATGTGGATTATTGTTGAAAAAATAAAAGTTACATAGCTAAGGAAAATGGAATGTTGCTGACTAATTCTTTCATAAGTAATGTTATAAATAATGAAAAAATATCAGAATAAAAAAAATTATAAAAAAGAACGAATTTTCTGGCATTGAAATTGAAGAATATAAATGTTCAATGTTCTCTCTTGAGTTGAAATTATGGAGATTTCATTACTTGTTTCTTAATTATTTAAATAACTGCTTGATTCCCATGTACTAATTTGCTATTTTCATGCTTCAAGAAATTTGACCTTAACTATGCGGATAATAATTTTGTTATGAAGTAAGACACAAAAATATCATTGCTCTGATACATTTTTTTGATAGATTCAGATGCATAACCAGCAAATTATGGGAGAGGGTAGCCACATCCAGGAAAATTTGGTTCCAATAGTTTGGTTCCTATGAAATATGCAGAGCAGCTAAAAGTTTGGACCACTTAATGTTAATTTCACTTTTTATGCATTTCACTATGTCTCTGAAACTATTTAAGAAAATCTGCAGCATTTTGCCCCCAACTGTAGTAGAAGTTTATGCAAAGATATTTGCACGCGAAGAATTATTTTTTAATTTATTTTTCTTATTATTCTAAATAACAATGATAAAAAATTTTTTAGCTATATGTTATGCAAATTTTACATAATATTTGAGCTACATAATTATAAATGACAAAACCCAAAGTGTGAACAAAATTAAGTGAAAAGGCTCTTGAAAAATAAATATTTGTTTGTAAGATATTATTGCTCAGAAGCTATTCAATCGATTTTGTTTAAATTTGTATATCCTAAAATTCCAAAATGTTTTAGCCATTATGTATCAAATAAGGAAAAATAAATTAAAAAATTATATTTTGCGTGTAATTTAGTTTTTTAGCTGTATGCGAACTTTTTTTATTGTCTTAAATAGTACACAATTTAAGAAAATACGCAAAAAGGGGAAATCAATATCAAGGCCCTTAAACTCACTACTGCTTTCCTGATTATTTATTTGGACGTTGTATTCCAGATTATAGTGACCACTTATATTTTGAGATTCAAGAATTCAAATCCCTTTTAAAAAAGAGGTATGTTTTGTCAGAGAGAGTATGCTTTTGCATCAGATTTCATAACATTTAAGTATCGTCTAAGTATCCTGAGTAAACATTTTTAAACCATTAAGATTTCATTTTATTATAGTAAAATTCCATCCTTAGATCAAATCCATCATTAGTTTTGTTTTTTATTTTGACCTGACTAAAAAAAATTCAAACAAGAATTCAAACGTTTAGAAATGAATATTATGCTACTTTAGACATGCAATTACTCACACCTAAGTATTAAGACTGCTTGCATCTCTTTGCTCTATGCATTTAGTGTGTTTATGCATGGAAATGGAAATGTTTCATTATTATATGCTTGTTTTTTAAATACAACTCACGGGCTAATGAAGAAAATTTATGGTATAATGTATAATTTGTGATACAAAATATTGTTTAAAATTTTTGTATTGTTCAATATTCAAATGTTACTTAAGTTCCTATTACAGTTGATTAACGTATTGTGGAAAGAGATATTTGCTTGTGCGTAGTCTAATATTTATACTTATAGCTTACCAATTTATAAATTTTTTTAGTTGTAATAAAAACAAAAAACAAAAATTTAATATTGATTAAATATAAAATTACATAAGAGATTCATACTAATTTCAATGAATGTGACACAATACATTGTGTAAGATTTGTGTTTTCAAAGTATGGAAGTATGGGATATAAACATTTATACTTAAATTTTGTGTCATTAAACTGTATAAATAAAAATATTAATAAGTTTATTTCCAAATCTTTTTAGATTTGTCTCCATCTCAATGGGATTATGTGCTTGTAACTCAGCCGGGCATTTGAGTAATCATGCTGATGTTGCTCCAAATCATGCTGGTGTAACATTTGCAATTTCAAATACAATTGTAAGTTTTAACAAACTTGAGATATCAGGTTTTATCTTTTTTTATTTTTAAACTTAAAGTGATTACGATAAAAAAACCATCCTTTTTTTATTAAATATTTAATTTTTACTAAGCATATACTATGTAATATTATACTTATACAGTTGAACGTTGTTATGTGTTAACTTTTAATGTGAGCTATTCGAGTCCCTATCTATTTCTGTGCGAATATAATCCTTTCAAGCTCTTATAAACTGTACTCACTTAACCGGAAACATCTTTTAGCATGAATTCAAATTTGATTTTTCATTGGAAAAATTTGTACTTATATGAGTAAAGCAATAAGTAAGGAAACTGGTGATTCTTACTTCTGCATCAATAAGCGTAGGTGTTTCTGAAAAATATTCCATATGCTTTACTATAGTATAGATAATTTCACCATTAAAATTGTCAAATGAACATGAATGCAAAGATGCATGTTTTGGCCAAAAATCCTATATTCTTAGTTCAATAATAGTAGCCATTTCTCACATATTCTCTCAAGTTATTCTGATTATAATACAGATAAATTGTGAAATACTTATGACAAGCATTTTTTTCTGCTTTCTATAAATAAATACTGAGGTAAACAGCCAGCCTTTTTTATTCAAAATGAACTGCAAAAATCAACAATCTGTAGTGTAACTACCACTACAATAATGCAATTCCAATTCACCAGTATATAAGACGTATTAACTCACTTCTATTTAGCGGTACTTTTTGATACATGGTGGTTGACATTTTTATTAACTTAGCTCTGTATTGGTGACCCGGACGGGATCTGAGCATATCTATATAGGCAGAAAGGCTCACTTAGATTTGAACAGTTTACTTTTTATTTGTGGCTGCGGCATTATCCTCCTCGCATAGTTGCTATTCAGTCTCAATCTCTCACCACTGGAGCTTGTACATACTCGGCTGCTAATAGCAACACAAGAGTGACCGTGTACACAACTGAGAAATTAGCATAATAAAAAACTAAAAATTATTATATGATATTATTTATATCACTAAATTTGAAATTTTTACTATATTTAGTAATTCCTCATTTAAAAGTTCAACATAGAATTTTTTTTTTTTTTTTTTTTTTTTTTTTTTTTTTTTTGGAGGATAACATTATTATTTTCGTCTTTGTGGATTGCGACAAAATTCTTTTAAAGTTGCTTAATAGCAAGATTTGTTTTTAAAAAAATTAATTGAATTGTTATACTTATTTATAATTCCCTTATTAATAAGAATAAAGTTTTTGAAACAATGATAAACTACCCATTTCCATTCTTTAAATAGACCTAAAGGTAAAAAGAATCTATTGGAAATCTCAAGACAAAAACTATTGATCATTTAGAAAGTATTTTAGAATTTCACTTATGGTAGAAGGGTCAACATTTTCTGTCTTTTAACATTAAATTTCTTAGTTTTAAATTTTCTGTAATAATTAAATTATCTGTAATAATTTGTTTTTGATATTCAAAATATTTCTCTTATTCACAGTGACATTCATTATAGGATATTTAAATTTTTCCTTAATTTTTGCTGATATCATTATAATTAAAACTAGTTCTACCAAAAGTTTTATATTTATAGCTTTTACTTATGTTAAACTCTTTTATTGAAAACAAAATCGTTAAATTGTCAAATATAATGTGAAATTTGAACTAATCAAAAATATGGTTTTGAAAGCCAATAACCAAGTATACGTTGTCTAAATTTTTCTTTTTACTTGGTGAAATTTTACTCATTTTAGGTCTCACGAGATCAAAATTAAGAATTTTAAAGTGTAAATTAAATCAAGATAAATTGTTAATAAGATCTTGAAGCCTATGAATATCATTATCCTTAAGGGAGAAAACAAAATCTTTCATTGATTTAATATTGTAATGTTAATTAAAATCTTTTTCCATTTTCAAAATAAAATTTATGTTGAAACTTTCACTTTTAAGAGTTTTTATTACAATTTCAAATCTATTTCTACAATTATCTTTAATAAGAAAAAGGGAAAAGACAGAAGAGTTAGTAAAGTTAATCTGTGTGTGTTGGAAAGTATCATTTAGCTCATATTGCAAAATTGCTTTGTGTAAACGCATATAATAATTTTCTTTTTTTTCACTCAAATGAAAATCATGGATTTTGATATTATTAAATTCTAGATTATATTAATATCTTAGTAATATGGATTAATTCTAATGTTAAGGGAGTTACTAGTTTGTTTAACATATTTTATATTGCAAAAACCAAAGGTCAACTTATAAATAGCATCATTAAGTTTACAAACATATTTACAAATATCATTATTTTGAACTATATGTTATTAATCAACATTGGAGCAAGTCTTGCATCTTTTGTTGCAACATACTTTATAACAAGGAAACAATTATGGTTTTGAAGGAAATTCAACAAATCTGATAGGTTATAAACTTATTTCCAAAAAAGGGATTTGTTGTATCTGTAGTTAATAGTTTATAAAATGCCTGTTTTTTAATTATACTTAACTGATAATGTGAACAAATTTCTTGTACCCCTTCAAGTTGATGTTAAAGAGGCTTGATTGTTTTTTAGAATTAAATACAGGGTATCCGTACAAATGGAAAGTCATGAATTTCAGTATTGAACAAAGTTTGTAATGAAATGTCATGATTTTAACTATTTTTTTAAGAAAATCATGGAAAGTCAAGGATTTAGGATTTAGGTCGCTGAAAAATCTAATTTTTAAAATGGAATTTAAAAATACCCCCCCCCATTTAATGTTGTTCTAAATATCTGAATTTGTAATAAAATCCCCACTCACAATCATATTTTATTAAAATATAAAATGTTTTTATCATGTTCTTTAAGTGTTATGGTGTTCTTTTAAAAAATGAAAGAAAAAACATTTCTAGAGGAATTATCTTTTAAACTTCTGTGATTTCAGAATTTTTGTTATTATTTATTTATTTTTATTTTATCAATTTAAAATTCTAGCTGAAGCAAGCCAGTCATTGGCAAATTTGTTTCATTCCGAAATGAGAACAGAAAAATCAGGAGTATTTCTTTCCTTTCCGATGAACAAGAAAAGTATCTTGAGAATATAATTCTGCAGAAAATTTTTTTTTGTTTTTGTACTTTTTTTTTACCTATTTTATTGCTTCAACTCTTTCTTTATTCTGTTTTTTTTTAATTTGAAATCTATAAATATAAAGATGTAGAGTATAACAGTTTTGGTTATACCTTTCATTTCATTTTATGTTATTATAATGCTTTTTTAAGCATATTGTTGTGATTTTGTCGGAGAAAATAGTAACTTCGTTAAGTCATGAAAAATATTTCATATTTTTTTATTTATTTAATTTTTCATTGTAAAAATACAGATGAACAATTAAATAAGATTAAAAAACTTGAGACTTTTATTAGCTAGAAACTAAGGAGAGAACATTTCATTAATTTAAATATTTAATTCATAATATACTTTATATTGATTAAAACTGTCTTGAAACAGCCCATTACTAAACATGCATTTTAATTCAAATGACTGAATATAAGATATCTTTAATTCTCTTAAATGTTTCATATAGTAGTTTTTAAAATTGGAAGTAATTATTTAAATTAACTCCCTTACCTTTTTAGGCCACTATACCTGGTATACTATGTGGTCCACTGACAGCTGAATTAGTCACACAGTCTCATGGGCGATGGTTTCCAGTATTTGTCTTAGCAGGATGTGTTAATTTTGTTGGAGCTGTGATTTATGCCAGTCAGAGTTCAGCAAGCCAAGCTTTGTAAAGATTAGATAATCTTTATGAATAGAGGCTTAAGCACAAATTCATACGACCTTACATTTACTTTTTACAGATCACAAAACAGACCAAGATTAAATCTTTATTTTGTTGCTGAAAGTTTATAAATACTCATGAACACTTTTATATAATTATGTAAGTTATATACGTATAAAGTTATATTTATAAATATGGACATTCTGTACAAAAATACATAAGTATTTTAACTGCAAAATTGAAAATATTCATGAAAATAAAGTTTTATTTATTTGTTTGAATTTGTTTTTATGTGTTTAAAGTTTTGTTAAGCAAAATATGTACATATTTATTTTTGGCAGATTTTCATTTAAAACATAATAATAACAAGAAAGAAAAATGACTGCTTCTTGTAATCAAATTTCCAATTGTAAGAAAAAGATTTTAAAGTATACTTAAATTTAAAGTATAGTATATACAACAAGTGTGATAAAAATAACAAAATTATTTTGTTAAGCTACGAAATAGGACACTGAAACCTGATGTCTCTGGAAAGCGTACCTTTTCCCAATTTGATTCTCTTTAAAAAATATAGTCCTACTAGTTTAGTCAAGAGAGCTATGGAATGGAAGTTTAATTTAATTTTTTTGTGTATTTTGCAACATTTTTCTAGAACTAAAGTGTGTCAAAAGCTTTTTGTGTACATTCACAAAACTTGCTTATGCAAAGATAATTTTATCCGAAAGTAAATTTTCTTACATATTTTAGTAAAATTGAAGAAAAAATTTTGATTGAAAAAATTTTAATTGTAAGGCACTCAATTTTTTTAATATAATTTTAAATAGCAAACTTTAAAATATGAATGGAATTAGTCAAAATTGTTCTCAAATTATGAAAATTTAAAAATAATCGAAAGCTTTGCCCTCTGTTCAATATCCCTTGTAGTACCCCAGAACTGCATATGCAGTTCATTTCAAATTGTATTGAGTCTTAATCTTGTTTTACTCATTCATTTTGTGTTATTCTTGTTTAATACTCCAAATGTCATAATTTGTTTTAATTATATTAGAAGTTATACATGACCTATTCGCTATTGCTTACTAAATTGAAACTGCTTGCACAGTTCTTTTCAAATTCAGTTCTTTTCACTTCATTTGCCCATTTCACTTCTCCACAGTGGGGTGGATTTCCGATCAAGCTGCAAGAAAAAAATTTATAGACTTTATAATCATTTTCAAAAAAAAAATATATATTTATATATCGGAATTTAATCTTAAAATTCCAAAAATAATTAGAAATTTTTGCAACGAAGAATGTTTAGGTATAAGAGTGTATGTGGTTGTTGAAAATTATAATTCTACTGCTTATAGTTTTTCTAAATTAAGTTATGTTACATAAAAAAAAGAAACTTCATGTATGATTAAAAATAACTGGAATCTTTCATCAGAGCTGCTTGATCAGTATTTTTTAGATCACTTCACTTGCTCATCTTTTCTGTTTTAAAATTCAAATAACACATTTGTTTAAAAATTCTAATTGAAAAAGCAATATTTCGATTTTTTCGTTAATAATTAATTCTCTTAATTTTTCGTCTGCATAAAATTAGTTCAAATTATTATAATAAGTACCAGCTGAAAGAAAATAAAGTTAAAAACTATTCAGGACAGAAAATAAAAATTCAATTCGATTAATTTCAAAAAATTCAATTCGATTAATTTCAAAAACTGTTAAAACACATTTACATTATCATGTTCAATCTGAAAGAAAATGAAATTTAAATAATGTTTGTTTTGAAGTGTAAAAATTATGTTTAAAAAGATAAAGTGTAAGGATTAAATTTATGAATAATAATTGCAAATGATTTACATCTTGAAGTAATTATGACAAACGAAATAATATCAACAAAATTTGAAAGATACTATAGAACAACTTTACTTGACAACACCCACACACTCCTCCCTGTAATGAGAATGGAAAGGAAAAAAATATCAATGAAAAATCTCTCAGTATAAGTTTATATAAATAAGCACCCCACAATGTAAACTTTTTAATGAAATCATGTGGTCACAAGGTTGTATAAATGAATATCTCNCCGTAGCCAGTGATGCTTGACTTCGGTGATCTGCTGAGAACCGTGTCTTAACGATCAGTCCACTGCGGGACGAAAGATACTATAGAACAAGTTTACTTGACAACACCCACACACTCCTCCCTGTAATGAGAATGGAAAGGAAAAAAATATCAATGAAAAATCTCTCAGTATAAGTTTATATGAATAAGCACCCCACAATGTAAACTTTTTTAATGAAATCATGTGGTCACAAGGTTGTATAAATGAATATCTCCCCCCTCCTCTTAAACTGAAAAAAAATTAAAATTTAATATCTTTAAAACTAATATGAAATTATAAAAAAGGTAAATTTTACTTTTATTATAAGAGTATGCTGCTGTTTTCTTTTACATAGCTCAAATAAAGGAAGCTAATAATAAAACTATTTAATTACTCAAATATTAATTCGAAATTCAACTAAAACTAAATTATGCAGCAAAAAAGAGAAAAATTGCTTTTCAAATTAGATATAAAATAACTTGTATCTTTCGATAGAAAATTGTATCACAATATTTGCGAGAAAGATTTTGCGGAGTATACTTGGTGGTGTAAATGAAAACAATAATTAGAGAAGGAGAAACAATAATGAAAACAATACACAATAATTACATAAAAATAAACGGAATAAATTGGATGGCTTATGTGATTCGAATGAGTGATGACAATATAATAAAAAAAAATTGCTTTTTAGAGTTAATTGCTTTTTTAGTTGAGATGGGCTGATTTGGTTGAGTCTGATTTTATTGCAAAACTCGAATTCTGAAACATTTCTCTAAAAATGTGCAAAATTTCAGTTTCATTCAAGAGTTTTTTTATTATTAACCTTTTTTTATGATAAATGCAAAAATAGGACAATTTTAAAGTATTATTGCTCAGAAACCAATTGACCAATTTCTCATTTAAAATAACATAGTTCTCACACACATATATATTGTTACCCCTAATAAAAGTGTGTCTGCCATTAAAAATTGATTTTTAATGGTAAAAATTACTATCACTTAAAATTTCTGGTATTAGTATTAAACTAAGCAATAAAATATAATAACCTGTGCATTTTTTAATTTTTTTCTCCACTCTTTGATTCGCTTTGGTAGTTCCAAAAAAATGGCGAAAAACGCAAAAAGCTAAATTAACGTAAAGAACTCAAAATATTTGGCTGCTTTCCTAATTTAACTTTTAGTGGCATATTTTCCTGATTCCAGATACTTTCCTCTCAATAGAGAGGAAAGTATCTGAAATCTGGTTCAATAGAAAAGGAGGGGGGCAATTCTAATTCCCCAAAAGAAAAGTATGTTTATTCGAAGAAAGTATGTTTTTGTGTCTCATTTCGCTACTTGATATCATTTAATGAAGTTGATATTCATGTTCATTGGCAACTTCTCAACTCATTAAGATTACGTCATGCGAGAAAATCCGATCATTAAATCCGAAGATGTTAAGGGCGTACTGTTTTTTAATTTGAGCACAGTAAAAATTTCTATATGGTAGAGCTCAAAAATATTTTTATCATTGTACGAAACTATTTTTTGATAATTAAGATACCGTAAACCGGGGCGAGTCTACCCATTTTTTCAGTTTGTCAACTTTCAAGTGGTCAAACTTTTGTAAATATTAAAGAAAAAAGGCTTTTAATAGGTGTTTCGGAATCGCTATTTATCCCTCTTTAAAGCTGTGAAATCGATTTTAGAAAATATTAACAGTTACGCTGTTACTGTATATTTTT